TGGTGTGATAGTGTCCACAAGGGGCTTCCAAGAACAAAGGATGGAAAATGGTGACTCAGGATTGAGGATGCACAGACTGATGTACTGAAATGTAAATTTGTTTTCTCTAACAACTCAGTTTTGTCATGTGATGTTTTTCTGGAAACTGTCTTATGAGATGATGTTTTGTGGAAGCAGACATGTGAGGGGATGTTTTGCTGAGAACAGATAGTTGTTTTTCTGGAAGTTGTCTTGTGAAAGGACATGCTTTACTGAAACAGACACTTGAGAGGGCACATGATATTTTAGAAAGAATACAAATACAATCCCACAGATGAGGTGACACTCTTGCATTGGTTCATCTTTCAATGCTTTGCTGGTCTTCACTGATCTTCACTTGTTGTGACTTTGTAGAGAGAAACATGTCAAAGAACATCCTCGTGGTATTCTGGCTGCTTCTTTCTGATTCCACTGACTCTCGCTGATTAGTCAGAGCTTCAAGGTTTCCTCTGGATCAAGCTGCTACTGATTTGGGTTTAGTGTTTGCCATTTAGACTGTTCTGCTGCTACTGATTCATGTTTGATGTTTTGGACTGAAGTGCTGATATCCTGACAATGAATGATAATGTCCCCAAGAACTATTACTACATGGGCTCACAATCCATGTTTTTCTATAAACCTTCTTCTTTCCCTCCCTTGTGGGCTAGAAGGGAGGTGGAAGGGTTTAGGAACCCTTAATAAAGTAGGTTTTGAAAAATCAAAGCCTACAAGAAGCTACTGTCAAAGAGCAACTGAGTGCCAGGGGTAGTGAGGCAGAAATGATTACAAAGGCAGACTGGACTCAAAGAGTAGAGACTTTGATAAGAGTCACTGGTTTCTTACGGGTCAGTGGGAAATATGAAGAAATGTTGTCACCGAGTAAAACTGTAAAGTTCCAATTATCAGAACTGGCCTATATCTAGGTGAATGTTGTGTCTGAGGAAGTGAACCCTAAGATGAAAGTCATAACACTACAAAATGTAAAAGACACTCAGATGCTATGGTGATGTTGTATAAGACAAGGCACAGCACACAGATGAGGAGTTGTGGAATAGCTACCATTCCTTTTAGAGCATAGGACAGTGACCTAAAGATATTGACAAGAGTAGGCCTCTGAAGGCATGAGCAAATAGTTTGAATCCCAAAAGGAAGCACTACTGAAAAGGAGAAAAAAATTTACTTACTTTCAGGATTTTTACCCTTATTATTACTCAACTGCCTACTGTGTCCTGTTGAGTATTTCTGGGTTTTGTTAGCAGTGTGGGGATCTAAACCCAGAGCCTGTGTATCTTAGGCAAGCACACTGCCTCTGAGCCACCTCAGAATATTTGCATGTATCTGCATGAATTGGGGATCTTCCATTCCAACATGAGTACAACCATAACCAACTCCTCTAACTAACTCTAATTTGTTCTTCAAAGTCTAGACAGTAGCATTATAAATCATTTAGCCAAACAAGAAATAAAACTCATCTCTATCACCCCTCCTTACTTCATACCCAGGCTGTTTCCTTCTCCCACCTGAGGGCTTTCAAAGTACTCGCCAATAAAAACAGTATTAAAAAACTGAAGACACGTTGGCACAAGCCTATATACACACACTTGGGGGGAGGATGGTAAGGCAGGAGAATTTAATGATCCAGGCCAAAGCACTCAACTCACCAATACCCTCTTTCAAAGGAAAAATAAAGAAGGGCTGGGGATATGTTCAGAGGTAGAGTGCTTGCCCGGCATACACCACACCCTGGGTTCAATCAGTAGTATAGAAAAACAAGATTTAGAAAGCTTAGCACAAGTTCTGGTATGCAAAAATTGACCCAAACAATATGAAGAGCACTGACTTTGGAATTCTTCTGATTTCATGCTGTCTAAAAAGCTTATATCTTCTAATTTTTAAAAATTCATTAAGCACAATTTAAATTTTATGAACACTCATCACAAACGAATCATTTGGATTTCTTGACTTTACAAATCAAGCTAATAATGTTCAATTTGAATTACTCACTTTAATTCTATATACTTCTCTAATCACTTTAATTCATGTTCCTGAAACAATAAACACTCATACTTCAACTCTTTTGTCATCTATAAACTTTTTATTAAAACTCTCAGTAATTTTAATGAAATCAAATCACTAAATTAAAAAAATAATAACATCATTAAATTGTAAGCAAAACATCTCACCAACATATGAACTGGACATACACTGCAGCAGCTTACTGTTTATTATAAGTGATTTTTTAGAAAAGAAAGTTGTAAGGTCTGGGCCTTGCGCACAGAGGAAAAGAAACTGCTAAGAGTGGTAATTCTTGGCCCCTGGGCTTCACTGACCTCCCCCATTCCACCTGTCACACCAACATTCACATTCTCTTCTTACTAATCCAGTCTTAAAGCTAAATTCAACTCCCCCTTATCCAGGGCAAAGGTTCAGAGAGAGAGGGAACATAAGGACATTACCAACCCTGACTCTGAAACTGCAACAGTATTCCACTGCTAGGATCTGCTTGCTCTGCACCTCTTCCTCTGCCCTCCATTCTCCTACCAAGCTTCAGTCTTTACATTTATATACAGAGCTGTGAGGGTGTGGAGGCATTTCTTTGTGGTGGCATGAGGTAAATGGAATCATGGCTCACGCCCTTAATTGGTTGCAAGATTGTTGAGGAGACAGTAAAAGTTCAATACTAACTTTCTTCCATGGGAGTCAGTGGCAGTTAAGTTAGGAGTAAGTTTTGTTGAAATTAAACAGCTCATATCTAGTACAAGGTTCTCAATTTTACTTAAGGTTCCTTCCAAGGAAGGTTGGGCAGAAGAGCAGACTAAGAAGTGAACAGCTGTGTGTTTCCCTACAGAAGCCTCCATACCCTGCCCAGATGGGTGCAGATTTACCATTGTTTTCCCTGCAACAAAAAAGACTACGTAGCTATTGCAGAAGCCAGAAAACTGTGATGTCTAGTGTATTCCATGAATGTCCTCATTTTTTGGAGAATTGGGGAAGAAAACGAAACTTCAAGAAAAAAAAAAAAAGCTCTTAAAGGCCCAAACCAAACCCCAGCAAAAACCAAAGCATAAATGCTTATTCTGAGAAGAAAGCCAATTGAAAGACAAAAGAAATATCAGTTTGAGCAACTTAACTTCTTTTCCTATCAAACCAAACTTTCAGAACAGGTGGAACTTGATCAATCTGTGTGAATCCCCAATGCTGGTGTTTCCTGTGACTGAGAAAAGGAGTTACAGCTCAGTTGCTAAGCCCTGGGTCCTCATTTTCCCAGTGGCCTAAATCAGTCCCCAGTCCAGGATGGGATGCTGAGCAAGATGCCTAATTATTTCAGGCCACTAGGGTAAGCACTATTCCTGGCACTCCACAAGCAGTAACATGGATGAGGGTTTCTAATTTTCTTTGGTGATTTGGCTCAGTGTAAACAGTTTGTTGTTGTTGTTGGTCTTTTAGACAGATAAGAAAGAAAGGACAGTTCCAGTTCTGAGAGAGACAGTTCTGCTCAGGAAAGACTCCTTTTCCCTCGCTCTCCTTTTGACAGCTTGACTTTGCATTTTCATCTAATTATCAATTACCTAGTGAGAGATCTAAGTGTTCACCTGTCTTGCAGAAGCCTCTCAGCCCAGGGGCAGGAATGAATTCTCTGAGAGGCCTTCAGAGACTCTGGCTTGTGACCTGAGAAGACTTCCTCCAGTGGCATTGTGAAGGTGAGGAGAGACCAATGCCACTCGTAGAAGAGGCTGTAGTATGTGACTCAACTATCCTGTTACCAATTCTTGAACTTTACGGGTACTACCATCGAAATACACCAAATCATTCCCTATGGCAGAAAGGGAAGGGTATTTTCACTGAGAAAATGGTAAGAAGGTTTAGAGGCAGTATCTGAAGTAAATTCAACAAGGCTGCTGCAAGATAGTGGATCAGCTGACACCTGTTTAGTAGTGCATAGCTTCTTTGTCCCTTTAGAGGAGTGCTTTACTTACCATATTCCTCCTTGAAAACTTGTTTACTTTCTTAAACAGTGGGCACCAGTGGAGAGTTCCCAGGTGTGCATTCCAGGCACTCAAACAATATATACAGACTAAGCTTGTTTGGGTACACAGCTCCAGGCTAAAGAATTTCTGAAGTTGAGAACAAATGAGGGAACCGGCTGGAATGTAAAAGACAATGCCCTGTGCTCCTGCAAAGCCAGCTACAAAGCCCATCATTATTACAAATAAAACCGAACAACTCATGCCATGTTCTTTCAAACTGCATTGCCCCCGCGTCCCCCCCCCCCCAGAATCTTCATGAAAAGAAATGCAAACACATGTGCCCTGAAATGGGTAGGTGTAAAAGAACATTCTGCACAATTATATCTAGGCTGCCACAGATTTATCACATGCAGACATATATTTGGAGCATATTAATTCATGATGACAGCTGCGCATGGCAAATCCAACAGAGCACAAGTTGGAATGCTGGAAAAAAAATGCAACTACAAACCCCATGCAGACACAAACACACCACACACATACACACACACACACACACACACACACACGAGTTTTCACCCCATCACACACTTGGCCTCACTTGTAGAAGATTAAACACAATTGAAAAGCCCAAACGCTGGAGGTTCCAGCAGTGGAGAGCCTGTCCCCAACACCGGCAGCCGCACCTTCATCCGCAGGCTTGACGGTCGCAGGTCTCAGAGTGCACTGGCCCTCCCAGACACAGCCCACTGGCGTGGACACACGTGTGCCCAGAGCTCGCGCGCCAAGCAGCCAGAGAGGAAGCGCGGCTCCCGGGGCTGGGGGCAGGGCCCGGCGGGCGGGCGCGTCGCGGGGCCGGGCCTCGGCGTCCAGGGAGGGGACTAAGGGCGGGCGCGGGGCGGCGCCCGGCTCACGTGGGCGGGTGGGAGCAGCTGAAGGTCCGCTCCGGCGACTAAGCTGTCCTCTCGCGCGCGGCGCTGGCCGGGGCGGCGGCGGTGGAGGAGCGAGAGAGGCGGCGGTGGCGGCGGCGGCAAAAGAGGAGGGGAGGACGGGGGCGGCGTCGGACTGGAGCCGATCGGCGGTGCGAGCTGTCCGGGGTGCAGTCGTGAGCTCGCCCGCCGGGCCCCCACCCCCGATCTACACCCTGCGGTGCCCAGCTCTGCCCGCGTCCGTGCCCCCGCGGGGAGCGCGCCGGGGCTGCCCCCCGAATGACGGGCGGAAGGTTCGACTTCGACGATGGCGGCACCTACTGCGGCGGCTGGGAGGAGGGCAAGGCGCACGGGCATGGCATCTGCACGGGGCCCAAGGGTCAGGGCGAGTACTCTGGCTCCTGGTCACACGGCTTCGAGGTGGTTGGAGGCTACACCTGGCCCAGCGGCAACACCTACCAGGGCTACTGGGCGCAAGGCAAACGGCACGGGCTGGGGGTGGAGACGAAGGGCAAGTGGATGTACCGGGGGGAGTGGTCACATGGTTTCAAGGGGCGCTACGGGGTCCGGCAGAGCCTGTGCACCCCCGCCCGCTACGAGGGGACCTGGAGTAACGGGCTGCAAGACGGGTACGGCGTGGAGACCTACGGGGATGGAGGTGAGCGGCGCCGCGGACCTATCTGCGGGCTGGCACGGTGGGCTCTTCCCGGGCTGCGGGGAAGTGGGGAGGACACAAGGAGCAGGTGTCCGGAAACCTACCAAAACACCTGGGGAGTCTACCCTCCCTCTTACCCTCCTTCCCATCTCCGAGAAGACCGCTTGGGCGCGCGGCTAGGTCGTGAGTGTCTGCGGTTCCCCGGGAGGGCGGGGTGTCCATACCCAGGGAGTTAGGCGTGCAGGTACCTGGCGGGACCCAGAGCCACGCTGCCCCCGGGAGGGCTGGGCAGGAGAGAGGACGCTGTCATTTGAGCCTGTCACATTACGTTCCTGATTCGTCCCTCTCAGGGCCAGGTTTGAAATCGCCACTCCTGTGGAGTTAGAGGGACGCCTTGGGCTGGGTGGCTGCCGGTCTGTGCTGACTGCCGCGCGGTTTGGTTTCACGTAGAGTCTCATATTTCGCTTCTGGTCCTCCAGTTAGCCTAAAGATAGAAGCCAGAACCCCATAAGTAGGATGTTGGGGAATTGGACCTTATTGAGAGTGTATTTTCTAGAGTCCTAGTTACAGGCAGCAGAGCGACCGCTCAAAGCAAGTGACATTCCTAATTTTCTCCCTAACTTTCACTTGGCTCCTTAAAGTACTCTTGAATCAGCAGAACTGTAATCTTTGCTGACCTGGAGATATTGGGGAAATGCTTTAGGAAAAATCGACGGAGTTTCCATTAAAATTTGAAAAAAGTTAAAGAATATGCTTTATCCTTAATATACATTAAGGGGTGTGGCCTAAACAGCAAGCCTAGGTTCGATTTAACAATGTTTGCCTTACAATTTCTGTACATTATAGGAGTGAGTTCATTTTTTTCCCTAGAAAAGCATACATGAGTGAAACAGGGGTCAAAACTTGACTGATTAATTTCTTTAAAAACAAAGCTGGGAGAGACCAATAGAGTGTATGTTTGGGCCAAGTCTATTTTCTGATAATAAACAGTCATATTTAATTGAAAAGGATTGTAGGAGGTGATTTCACTTTTTGGAATTAATCTGCTTCAGAGTTGGAGGATATTAAAGGGATCCAATTAAAAGTTTCTCCAGCCTACTGAAATTCCGTTATGCTTTTGCTTATATAAAAGCTTATACAATTTGTACACTTTACTTGCTCAGAACACTTGGGCTGTATTTCAAATGGAAAACAGCAGAATGGTAGGATTTTCCTTTTTTTTTTTTTTTTTTTTTTACATCATTTTGCTCTACAGTTTAAATAAGGATACGGTTCTCATGGATTAAAGAGGGGAGGGAGGTGTCTTAGGACTTTTCTATGGGCTGAGCCCTGAGTGCCTTGGTAGTTTAACAGGGGCCCTTTACTGTTCGGAACTAGAATAAAATGCCTTGGTTGACAGCCTTACGAATATTGTTTCTGGATTTTACTGGAAGCCCTAGCTCTGATATAACAAACTACTGTGTTCAACAACAGAAATGTTGTTGTTTTTTAATATGATCATTTTATAGCCCTTATTTTAAAAACTATAAGATAAACTTATTTTATTATAATTTAACTACAACATAAACTTCCTTTAGAAGTTAAAAGTCATTAAATGAAACCTGGTGATGTAGAGTATTTGTTATGCTTAGTAATCAAAACAGAGAGCACAGTAAAACTGATATATCTGTGTTGTTTGTACAAGGCCAAATACATCTCTAAATAACTATGAATAATCTGCCTTCTGTTTTAAACCAACTTTGAAAATTTAAAAAGACAAAATTTGGCATCATCACAGCACTGTGGTTTTCTTTTTCTAGCAAACAAACAAACAAAACCCCGGTGTGCTGTAATCAAGAAAAAATGTTAAATTAAATGTGTAAGTCACTTTTGAATATCTACTCTGTGCCGGTCAGTTTCCTGGATTTTCTCATGTTAACACATTTTATCAGAAAATCCGCAATTTAAAAAATGGCCTAAACAGATCTATATTGATACAAGTTAATTCATTCAGAGGTTTTAGTGCAAGTAGGAATACCAGTTTCTCTATTCCTGAGTTAGCTTAATTCTGCCTCCCTTTCCACGTATTTTTAGTGACAGTAGAGAAGGAATAATTCCATGTGAAAACTCTCACTTTATTTCACTAGAGATTTCTTTGTAAAGCATCACCGAAATAGAAACTTGGATTATGCATCATATTCATGAAATCCAAGTCCAGATGTCCAGGTTCTTTTGTGAAAATTCTGTTCTGTTATACTTTATTATAAACCTACATAAAGCTATGGAAGATATCTAGGAAGACCCACTGTGCTATTGATGTATTTAAAACAAGGTTGCTGTAGCCCTAAGCATTCTGCCTCTACCTTTCCAGGACCAGGTTTATGGACCAGGACCAGGTGGGGATGGAATCCAAGGCTTTATTAGTGCCAGAAAAGCACTCTCCCAATAGAGCTTCATCTTCAGTCCTAGCCATTGTTTTGTAAACTAGATTTATAGTTGTATATAGCCATTCGAAGAATAGACTCAAGTTTGGCAAACAGTAGTTCAAATTTGACTAAAATTCATTTTGATCCAGAAGCTATTCTCAACAATATTGTGCAGTTAAGATGGCAGATCTAAAAGAAAACAACAACAACAACAAAACACCTTTGTTTGTATGTTAAACATGCCCTGTGTGTCTTAGGAACAGAGAATAGGAAGTCACAACTCCTTTTGGACAAAAGAGATCATAGACCACCTACTTCATAGAGAAATAGGTCTTGTTTTCTAGATTCCCTGACTAAACCAAATCTCTTTAAAATTTCAGACCAACTGCTTAGATTTTGAACAAACTAAACCAGTTCATTCAAAGTGGTGCTGTGCATGTCCTGGAGGGATTCTCTCCAATACTGTGATATTATAACCACCCAGTAGGGAAGGTGACTGATACCTTTGTTCCCTGCCCCTGTTCTATTTGATAGTACCAAGGATATTTAAACTTTCTAATCCTTGCTATTCTTTAAACAGCCTTAGTGTTCAAGCAGTTTTTTGGGGGAAGTAAGTCCAGGCTTGACTTTGGAGCTGTCCTTTGGAGGAAAGTGGCCGTTAATTTTCCATCATTGTTTATGATTTACTAAGATGTTATGGTCGCATTTTAAAGGCATAACTACTTATGCCAAGTAGCATCTTTTACAAATTATTTTAGCAAAATCATTTTGTAGAAAAGTTAGAATGATAGGAATGTGGCATTTTAACAAAACAAAATATTAAATACAGTGGTTCGTTTTAGTGTGTGCATAAGGTTATGTAACTTTTATCCTACTATTTAGGGTTCACCTAGGAAAAGTCAAAGTTGAAAGTTTCTAATAATTCATTGTTTTTTTTTTCCTATAGCCACAGCAGTGTTTAGAAATACCTATTATTCAGTAGGAAGCTTATTATCCTGGGGGGGGGGGAATCCCACTAATACTTTTAAACAAAGTCCAGCTGAGTAGCCCAGACTGACCTAAACACAGTAGTATCCTTCTGCCTTACCCTTCCAAGTACTAGAATTGCAGGCATATACTTCCACACTCAGCTTCCGAAATGTTTGTATATAACAATCTTACCCTGTTTTGAGATCTGTGCCCTACCCTCTTTAGAAATTTATAGGAATGAAGTTAAGACTCAGAGTCTACTCAGGACATAGTAGTCATGGTACAGACTCATTAGTATTTAATTGTTGTTCTGTTGTTGGTGCTTTATATAATGTAAATATGTCAGCATGAGAAGAAAGAGAAGGGGGTCTTAAAATTGACTTAGGAGCAGTTCCTATTTATACAGTGGCAAAAACACTGGCCAGGCATGGTGCTTTTAATCCCTGCATTCCTAAGGCAGGAGGACTGAGAGTTCCAGGACAGCCTGCACTACATACTAAGAACCATCTTCAGAAATAATAGTACCCACAGCATTATCTCATGTCATATTAAGAATACATGTATCCCAGTCACTGGAAATCTGCAAGGTAATGTAAAGTACAACATATAATCAAAAACAGAACAAGGTTAACACAGTCTATAATCATGATTTATTTTCTTTGACATTGAGAATTGTTAGGAATAACACCAAAGTAATTACATTTAAATTTTTTCCAGATAGCTGTTCTAGGGGCATACTAGGATGCAAAACTTGCCTTGAAATGAAGGTAATGGCCTTTACTTTGAAAAATCTGAGCTCCTTAGTTTATCCTTCATTGTTTCCAGAGAGCATTTAAAAACCTCTACCAGGCTGTTGTTTTTAAACTATCTTGGTTATTAAGTAGAACTCACTGAAACAATTTTGGGGGATTTATCTTATTCCTAAAAAGTATGATATTCATAGAAAAAGTGATCTGGGTCAACAGAATTTTAATGGACACTGCCAAGTATTCCCTGAGACTTGTAAATACTTCTTCCATCCTGTCAGTTCTTTAAACATCAACTTCAGACAGCCAGAGACCACAGAACACATGAGTCTGAGACATTTGTCCTCTTTTGAAAGTAAGTTCCTGCCCTCAGATACTTCCAGTATGGTGAGACTCAAAGTGTTGGCAAAGTCTAGAGAGACCTATAAAGACAATGCCCAGGAGAAACCAGATTTAGCAAGTAATCTGGTACTCCACACACCCCCCCCCATCTCTACCCCACCCTCGCCAATCCTCAGTATTCAACAGCTTGCCTTTGCCTAAGTAGGAAAAGCTAGGCCAGCTTGTTGGACAACATGCCCCAAGTATTCTGATCATTGTCACTAATGTTAAACCTGGATGGTTCTTAGAATGTTGTACCTGGGCATAGACCTAAAAGCCATTTTTTTTAAGCTAAATATTTGAAACCATGACTAGAATTGATTTTTTTTTCTGCTGTGGCACTACCTTACTTTGATGCTTTCAGGTGGCAAAAGATGATTTCTAATGATCACTCCTTTTGTATTGGAAAAAAAAAGTTCACAGCTCTGAGGGTATCGCTCACTGATGGAGCATTAGGCCATTGGGTATAAGGTCCTAGGTTTAATCCCCAGAGAAACACACACCAAACAGTGGTTCCTATGCATGCCTGTCATTCATAAAACATTTTAAATTAAATGCAGAAGTTAGGCTATCAGAAAAATTTATACATTAAAGCCATTAGAGTCAAATTCAGCCGGTAGCCATTCAGAAGTGGATGAAAAGCATTACCACAGTTGTCCAAAGAAGTGTGTTAAATTTGACCCTGGCCCTTCCTGTCCAGGGTACTGTACTCTCAGTATGCAAATGCAGTCCCTGAAGACTCACACTATGCTTGCTGATCTGCTTTCTCAAAGGTACCTACCAGGGCCAGTGGGCTGGAGGCATGCGGCATGGCTACGGTGTGCGCCAGAGTGTGCCCTATGGCATAGCCACAGTGATCCGCTCCCCACTGCGGACATCCCTGGCCTCCCTGCGCAGCGAACAGAGCAATGGCAGCGTGCTGCATGAAGCTGCAGCCGCAGCTGCAGACAACCCGGCTGGCACAAGAGGTGGCTTCGTGCTCAACTTCCATGCGGACACAGAGCTGGGCAAGAAAAAGGGTGGCCTCTTCCGTCGGGGCTCCCTTCTCGGCAGCATGAAACTCCGCAAATCCGAATCCAAGTCTTCCATCTCCAGCAAGCGCAGCTCGGTCCGCAGTGATGCAGCCATGAGCAGAATCAGTTCTAGCGATGCCAACTCCACCATCAGCTTCGGTGATGTCGATTGTGATTTTTGCCCCGTGGAAGATCATGTGGATGCCACTACTACGGAAACCTACATGGGCGAGTGGAAGAATGATAAGCGCAATGGCTTCGGCATCAGCGAACGCTCCAACGGCATGAAGTATGAAGGCGAGTGGGCCAATAACAAGAGGCATGGGTACGGCTGCACTGTGTTTCCTGATGGCTCCAAGGAAGAGGGAAAATACAAAAATAATATCCTGGTCCGTGGAATAAGGAAGCAGCTTATACCAATAAGAAATACAAAAACTAGGGAGAAGGTGGATAGAGCAATTGAAGGCGCACAAAGGGCGGCGGCCATGGCCAGAACCAAAGTGGAAATAGCAAACTCAAGGTATGTAAATACAGAGTGGGTAGTTTGACATAAGGTAGGGATGGAGGTTCTTCAAAACACTGCAGTTTTTTTCTATCTGCTAATGGCATCACGAAATAGGTTCCCAGTACACTTTGGGGGTGGAAAGTGGGGGATGGGGAAGACTTCAAGAGAACTCATTTTCAAAAACTGTGCCTTAAAGCACATGGGGCACCTTTCTTCTTCTAAATTATGTCCCTAATATTTAACAATCTGTTTTTAAAGGAGACTCTGAAATACTCACTGCTTTGTGTATGTTAAAAGAAAATATCCCTTTAAGTGCAAACATACTTACAATGTAGATTATATACGTTTATAATGATATTAAGTTGAACATATTTACAACTCTCCAGTAAGATTATTCTAATTTATGAAATAATAATTCTTTTCACTGCTGCTTTCTAGGTGAAATCAGCTTTGAGAAAGACACAAGGGGGTCTAGGCAAGACAAACACAGATTAGTGACAAGACGCATGTTGAAAGCCAGAGTTCCTTCTCGGGAACAGACCAGGAGGCCAAGGCTGTGAAGAACTGTCCCAGTCTGGGCAGGAAAGATTAGATCACTGGTATATTAAAAGGAAGGGGCTGGAGAGAACTTGACGTGGACAGATGGGCTTCTTACTGTGCCAAGGTTGGAAGAAAGTAGAGCAGTTGAGAGGAGGGCTGGCGTAAGCAGGAGAAAACGGTCGGTAGGAGATTGACAAAGAGATGCATATGGGCCTGGGTGAGTTTTGTGTTTGCAGTTTCACTCTACAAACCAGGCTTGGCAGCTCGGCACAGGGGATTGAGCACCTTGTAGGGGTAGAGGTTAAGTAAGGATAGGTGCTATCAGTTAGACAGGAAAGAAAGGGATGGTTTTGCTTGGAGTTTTTACTTTTACAGGTTAAGACTGGCTACTGTTGTGTGTGGCTTCAGTCAGAAATTTGGCATAGAATATTTAAAATCCTGTTACTTCCTCAGTAATGCTCATCTGTCTTAGTAAACCTTCCTCTGAAAGCACACAGTATCAGCACATCTTCAGGGTCTTTATTGGTAGTACTGAATATAATATTATATGCTAATATTCAGTGAGTAACCCCACCCCTTTTGATTGGACCTTAGGAAACAGTATTTAAACTTTCTTTAAAGATTTATTTATGTACATGTGCCTGCATGGGGTTATGTGTGCCACTGTGGGTCCCCTCAAGGTCGGGAGAGGATTTCTGGTGCCCTGAAGCTGGAGCGATAAGCAGGTGTGAGCTACTGTGTGGGTGCTGGAAAAAGAACTCTGGTCCTCTACCAGAGTAGCATATGCTCTTAACCACTAAGCCATCTCTCCAGCCTCAGTGTTTGAACTTTTAATGCTCGAAAAACAAAAACAAACAAACAAAAAAAACCTGGTAGCTTCATAACAGTTCAATGTAATACTTCCATTATTCTTGATTTGGTTTTTTTTTTTTTTGAATGCTTCTGTTTTAAGAGTATTGCTGTATCTGGAACACTAATTGGAAAGTAAAATGGAGTCACTTCTTAGCCCTCATGGTTTTTTTCCTCAACCGAAACTTCCATGCAGGATTTCTGCTGCTGTCTTTCCTGAGCATCGTTTAGTACAACAGAGTTCTTTGCTAAGCACTAGATCTGCATGCATTTCAGGGTGCTTGGTTCATGAAGTCTTTCTGGCTCTCAGCTCCTTTTGGAGCTGACACTGCATACTTTGCTTACTAGGTCCTATCTCTAATTGACCTAAGGCACTCCTGCAAGCTTCCATTTCACACTATCCTTACAAATTAGTGACACACTACAGGTAAGAGTTCAGGTTTAGTGGATGGGAAACAAACCTGTGGGGGACACTCCTGCAAATGATGTATTCTACGCTTTGGTTTGTTTATATTAGAGGAGATTACCTAACTGAAGTGAGCATGCTTGCACACTGAGACAATCTATGTTTATCCTAACATCATAAAATACTTTCTCAAGTCAGAGCCACATTCTCTCTTGAAAGACTTAGAGAGAGTAGCATATAGTTTGGGGACATTGTATTATATAGTCAGTACTCCAGGCATCTTTAGGCCTTATACTTTTAGCACCTGAGATTTCATTGAGCATTTTAAAAATATTTAATTCATTATGCTAAGTGAAATAATCTAGTGGCAGAAGGACAAATCCTACTTGGATAGTCCATCAAAGACGTCAAAATGGTAGCTGTCAGGAAGTGAGTGAGTTGAAGACATGTAAAATGTATCAGTGCAGTGACATATCTGTAGTTCACAGTATTGGAGTGTGCACTAAAAATAATTTAAGAGGACTGGAGTTATGTGAGTTATTTTTTTTTTGCTACAACATAAAGATGGTATTTAGATGACAAATCAGACAAAAATTAAAAATAAAACAACTCAACTAAATTTTTATATCTTCTTTCATTTTTCAATGCCCTTCCTGGATGCAATAGATACTTCAGTACACTTGGTTGGGGTAAAAATGGCGTCATTTTTGGAGAAAGTGGCTAACAGATTGACATTTCCCATGAAATACTTAAGTTTGGACTGACATTTCCCATGAAATAGTTGAGTTTAAGGTTCATGACATAGGTAGATAATAAACAGCCCAGAGTAGATAGACAATATGTAGATAGATGGCTTACTAGCACATTAATCTTTCTAAAAGTCAAAAGTAGAGCCTGAGAGACAGCGGAGTGGGTAAAGGTACTGACCACTGAGCCTGGTAACCTGAGTATCTGGATCCCCAGCCCCACAGGATGAGAGGAGAGCATCAACTCCTGCAAGCTGTCCCCTGACTTTCACACACATGCCCATATATAGACACATAAGCAAATGCTTATTTTTTAAATTTAAAGTCAAAACTATAAAGGATGCTGTTAATTTTTTGACCCATAGAATTTTTCCTCTGGTTTATGCTCTGATTCAAAAGTATTATAAAAAGTGACATTTTTTTCTTCTTGTCTTAGTTGGGGTAAAATTCATCATCAGTGACCAAGACCAGTCTCAGCTTGGTCACTTATGAAATGTTAAATAGATGGAGAGCAGCTGTAATTATTTCAAGACATGAGCATGCCTAGCCATCCCTGAGCTTCAGTGCCGACTGCTGACCTCAGCCTCCCTGCTATGTAGACAGGCATACCCTCTGAGAGACTTTCGAATCAGTGAGAACCATGGCAGCACACAAACCTAGGTCCCATGTCTTTCCTTCACCCATGTTTACCCTTTGATGGACCTGACCAGCTGAGCACACCTTTGAGTCACTGAAATAGTTAGACCATTATACCTGAGCTCAGATCCCTTAAAACATTGGGCTTGTATGATAGAAATCAGTTGTAGAGAAAAGACTACAGATTGCAATCCCAGAGCTTGAAGGGTTGTGATCTTATGCAGTGCATTCCCCTCTTTCAGAGATAGCAATGAGACTTTTTCCAAGATCCCTCACTATCCCTCTGACTGACCTACTACCAACACCCAGTGATCAGCACAGTTCTTTCTGGTACCCTTCTCCTTTCATCCTGTTTCTTACTCAGTCACTATTCACTCTGTCATGGCATATGTAATTTCTTAGGTGAGAGGTTCGGCTCCATCTGCTAGGGAAAGATATTGTAAGGAATGGAAAGCATTTGGTTGAAAGAACAAATAAGAAGTAACGTTTACAGAGCCATACTTCTTTAGAAGTGATTGATATTCAGGAGGAATGTAGTCAGAAGCAAAGTTCTGTGATAAGCTGAGTCTTGGAAAGCAGTCCTCATAGAAGAGGGATGATACCCTGGGAGAGTGTGGGAGGGGCAGGAGAGTACTCCTTGACTTTAAAACCACTAAAGGTAAGAGTGTGAGTCTATCATAGTCTCAAGAAGAGGCAGGAATGTGGTAGATTAGAAAGTTCCCAGGAATTCCTCATTCTACATACCTATCTTGGCCCTGGTACATTTCACTGAAGCTAGTGTGTCTCACTGTTGTGTGGCTAGTCAGGTTTTAGTCTTCAGATGTCTGTGACTATGGAACTGTTGGTAATTATGGTAGCCACAAGAATGATGGCTGCCACCATCAACCACATCCTGACTGTCAGAGCAATGTCTGAACCTGTAAAGTCAGGAGGATCTCTCATCTCTGCTGTGTTGTCCCAGGAATGACTATGGAAAGTGGGGAAGCAGAGCGTGTGGAGAGGGCACAGGTTCAGGTGACCTGGTGCACAGGTCATCTTGCTATGTTTTTCTTCAGAACTCTAGTGCAGATTTGACACTCACCAGTTGTAGACTAAATATGAGAATGTCCCATACTTTTCTGTAGGATTTGTAAGGCTTCCTTTCCTTACTTTTACAGTTCTACTTCTTCCCCTAAGAGTGAGTCAGCTATGTATATTTCTTTCAATGGGAAAGCCCCCCTACTTGGGCCTAGTCAGTGTTGCAGACCTCACTCAGAGGTCAATATAAATCTTCAAGGAAGTTACCCAAGACCCCATTCTCTCCATCCCACTTCTATCCTCATCAATATGGATTAAGTTCTCATGTTAATATTGGCTGTCATTCAAGCCTGATTACATAGGTATTGATATCAAAAGTATCCCCTCTCCAGGAAAAAGACATCAGGATGGGTATGGCCCTCATGCCTCACTGGACAACAACAGGGGGACCGGAGCCATGACAAGGTCCCCTTCAATTACTGGAGGTCAGGCCTCGATCCCTGCCTTCACAAGATTAGAATCACCACAGCCCTTCTATACTTAGAGAAGGGAGGATATGTTAGGGCAGTCCTGCTTATACACTGAAGGCCTAAAATCAGCCATAGGCCTAAAATCAGCAATACGCCTGTCATATATGTATACTAACACCAAGTCTTGGGTCTCTGTGGAAAAACATTGAAACAGAGGGCTGTAAACTATCATAAATAGGCATCTTTTGTGGAAATTTACTAGCCTGAGTAGTCATAGACCTTGTAAGTAGGTAGCCTTGGTGGATAGTACTAACTTAGATAAGGACAAGTGAATCATAGGCAGAGTCATGG